AATAGCACGTGAAAATAGCTGGCACACTGTGGGATGGTTATACATTTGGGTATAAAATAGTAATAATAAGATGGGCATTTTGTTGTTAATGTAACACTTTCCAAACACTCTGAAGCAAAGATTTTCAACTTCACTATACCTAAGGAGCCCAATAAGCACAGATAAATCATCCTGCTCTTTAATCTGTTATATAAAGACGCAAACACATAAGGGCTCAGTGAATTCAGTGTCAGTCTCACTGTTACAGTCCCAACTCCTCCAGGCATGGACATGCCCATGAATTTAGAGAGTTTTTTTAAAAAAAATAAGTTCATTTATCCTAATTCCAGCTTAATAAAGATAATTTTAAAATAGTGATGTGTCATAACTCTTTCTAAACAATTTTGTATTTAGCCTTTAAGTAAAAAAATAGAAAAACTTATATCTACCACTTCAAAATAATAAAAGTTTATTTTTGTTTTCGTTTTGTTTTTTAAAATACCTTCCGTCTTCTCAAACCCTGGATCAACTTCTCCTTGCACTTGAGAGAGTCCTATATATCATTTTGCAGCACAACCAGCCCATTTACAAATGGGCCCATTTCTGAAAATAGACCTTAACATAAATACAAATCCTTCCCAGAAATCAGACCTTAAATAAGAAAAACAAGTCTGTTTGGTAGAATTTCTTTGACTACTCAGCGATTCCTTCTCCCTTTCTGCTCATTTGTGGAAATGAATTGACTATAAGGAAACCACAATGGCCTAGTGTTCATTTACGTTTACTGAGGAAAATGAAGGAAACTCAAGATGGTGACTTTTTATCATTTATTTACGTAATAAGTGTAAGTGGGGGAGGGGAGCTGTGTGTATGGTGTTTGTGATTGATTGTGTATCTGTGGTAAACTTTTGATCTGTGCTTGTGCTACACCTGTAAAGCCCTCTTTAACAGTAGTCTTACTGGATACAGCTTTTTACCCCTGGTTAAATTGAAAGCTTTCTTTCTCATCAAACTTTGAAGCCTGTGATCTCCCTAATCTCCTGCTTCTTCATAGTCTATGCAGACACAAGTAAGTGATGTTCTCTTCAGTGTCTCCTGGATCTCTTAAAACTCAAGGAAATGTGCTTTTTTATTTCATTCTTCATCCCTAGGGACCGCTGATAGTGATTGAATTCTGAAGAGATGTGGGTGATGTAGGCAATTTATGCCCATTTTTATTACTGCTTAAATTTTGAATCAAAGATTTAGTATTTCAGAAAAACTGCTTGATATATTAACATCTGACCTGAATTTTTATGGTGTCCTTTAACTGCTTTACAGGCGGCAACTCTAATCACCTCTTCAAGCCAGGCCGGGCATCGGCAGCAAGTTTCGGCGGAGCCTTCTTCAGCCCCACTCTGGGATGTCTTCAGGGCGAGTATTGGTCATCTATTCGGTTTTGCAGAGAAACGTTGTGATAGCAATCTTTTTAAAGTTATGTATTGATTTTAATTAAATATTGACATTGAATATTAATCCACTTTTTACAATAGAAAAATTGGAAAATACGTCATCTCACTCATCAGAAATAACTACTCTTAACAAATAGGCATAATTTATTGCAGCCTTATTTGTCTGTGTTTTCTAATGCTTGAGGTCATTCGTTATATACAATTTTATATTTTACTTTTGCTTAAAAATCATATCACTGGGTAGTTCATAAAACTCTCTTCACAAACATTTCAATGGTTGCATAATATTTCCTCATATAGATATATCTTACTTTAATTATCCAAGGTGGACATCTGGGTCATTTCTTACTTATAGTAATACTGTCATAAATACCACTATTCATAAATCTTTATCTGCATTTCTAAATATTTCCCTAGGATAACATCCTAGAAGCATCACTTTAGGATCAAAGGATATTGAATTTTAAGGGTATTTCCCCCCCACGTTTTAAAATCTGAATGACTTCTGAGGTTTGATAAAACACGGTATTTCACAATTGCACAGACCTGCCAGTTTGAACTTGGAGACATTTAGACCCCATTGTAAAACATTATAAAGTTCTATCTACGGACTCTTGGGTCCCTGCATATATGTTTCTCCCATCTACACGTGTCTCTTCATTTCTTTGTCATTCTGTTCACACAGTTGTTCAAAATTTTCTAAAAACACATGTTAAGAAAAAATAGAATTTCTGTTAAAACATTTTTGGATGATATGGGAGAAACTTAACATGGTCATCTCTGAAGAGATGAACAGAGGAGGGTAGAAAAGTGAGAATTTTATTTTTGCTTTATATCTTTCTGTTCTATTTGAACTTTCTAATTAAATGCATCGCTTACATTTTTTAAATAACAAGGGTGATCTTCATGGTGTGACTGCAAGTTTCTGGTTTTTTCTTTATGCTTTTTGATATTTAAATAAAAGATCCTTTTTTTGGAGGAAGATTGGCCCTGACCTTATATCCGTCCCCATCTTCCTCTACTTTATGTGTGGGATGCCTACCACGGCATGGCTTGATAAGCGGTGCTTAGGTCTGCGCCTGGGATCCGAACTTGTGAACCCCAGGCTGCCAAGGCAGAGCATGCAAATTTAACCACTATGCTACTGGGCTGGTCCCTAAACAAAAGAAAATTTTTTTTTTTTTTGAGGAAGATTAGCCTTGAGCTAACTACTGCCAGTCCTCCTCCTTTTGCTGAGGAAGCCTGGCCCTGAGCTAACATCCGTGCCCATCTTCCTCTACTTTATACGTGGGACGCCTATCACAGCATGGCGTGCCAAGAGGCGTCATGTCCGCACCGGGGATCCAAACCGGTGAACCCCAGGCTGCGGAGAAGCGGAACGTGCGAACGTAACTGCTGCACCACCGGACCGGCCCCTAAAAGATAATTTTTGAAGGAATAAACAAAAGGGTGTATCACCCAATTCATCATGAAAATTATTAGTAGAAAAAGTAAACAAAAAGTTAAACTGTTGATAAAATTGTACATGGTAAAATATATTATTGGATAAAAAATATAAATATAAAAGTCTTCTTAATTAAATTTAAAATAAATTAATTAAATGAGATGTGCAAAATTTGGCAGGGGAAATTTGCACTCAATTGAACAAAGGGCCAAGAAATAAAAGTCTAAGTGTATAACTGGTAAAATTTTCATGTTTTTATATGATGCAGCTGAACATTTTCATGTTTATTAGCTCTTATAGTTCCTCTTTTAAAAATTGCTCATGCCCTCTGCTATTTACATATTAGGCACTTGATGTCTTTTCTCATTGATTTGCCTTATTTTTTGTATTACAAATCTATTAGCAATTCATTTGAAATATTTATTGCAATTTTGGGGGGCCAGCTTGTTTACAAAGTATTAAAATGACTGCTTAGTTTAATGCATCATTGTCACAGTTATTCCTCCTAAAAGTTACAAGACTTTCAACCACATTCAATCATTTATTCACAGCTCAGAATATTTATTTAGCCTCTACCTTGTCCCATGCAGATACATGGTACTTAAAACAGTGGGCATCTGAACTCCCCTCTGAGTTTTGCACCGCCCCATTTCCCAAACATAACAGAACATCAAGTGTACATTCATTTCCTAGGGCTGCCATAACAAGGTACCACAACCTAGGGGGCTTAAACAACAGAAATGTCTTGTCTCACAGGTCTGGAGGGAGAAGTCCAAAATCAAGGTGTTGGTAGGGTTGATTGCTTCTGAGGGCATAAGGGAGAATCTCTTCCATGCCTGTCTTAGCTTCTGGTGGTTTGCTGACAATCCTTGACTTGTAGTTGCATCACCCCAATCTCTGCTTTCATCTTCACATGGCATCCTTCCTGTGTGCATGTCTGTCTCTGCATCTAAATTTCCCTCATTATAAGGACACCAGTTATATTGGATTAGAATCTAACCTAATGATCTATTTCTAAATAAGGTGACTTTCTGAGGTACTGGGGGTTAGGACTTCAACATCTCTCTTTGAAGGGACACAATTCAGCCCATAACAAGTTAACCTAAGCTTGATTGAATTGGCCATGGTTCTTAGGGCAAACAACAGAATCCTCTCTAGCTATTTTAAACAGAAAGAAACTTATTAAAAGACATTAGTTAACTCTCAAAACCTCTGAGTGAGCAAAGAAACAGGTTTGGATGCTACACAACCAAAAGTAATCTAGAAAAATAGCTAGTAGCAGAGCCATGTGACCCATGCAGTCACACAGGGCACCACTCAGAAGGACCCCCGTGCTTGGGTCAATGCCCTTCTCTCACTATCTTGAAATTTTAATGATTTTATCTTTGAACTTGTGTTCTGTGAGTGAAGTCCAGAGAGAATGTGCACATGCAGAGGAGATATGCAAGACATGCTCGCGCTCCGTTCTTAGCTGCCTCACTCACATATAGCCTTCCCAGTGCCTTGTGAGCACAGAATTCATGCCTGGTGCTTCAGGGAGACTGAAAGCCAGTGCAAGGTAAGTGTTAAATCTATGATGAGTAAGCGCTGACAGCCAGGCCACACTTTCCATCCCAACCAGAACTTACTCCAACACAGAATGAAGGCACGAGCGACTAAGGAACCCTATCACATCCTTTCTCATGTGTGACTTCCCTATAAAAGCCAATGGCTTACAGTGAAAACTGATGACATGGAAGGAAGGGAAAGATAGGGCAACTTTTTTCCTTTCAGTCCTTCATCACTCATCAGTAGCTGAAGGTGGAAAGTGCCCATATCAAGAAATGCATGAAAAACAGTTGAGTTAGTTTTGTGCAGCGTTTCCACTGTTCCGATACAAACAAAATACACATGCATGTATGAGCCATGAAACACAAATTGTGTAATTCGGGTGATTCTGCATGTGTTAAATTCTCTTATATTTACACTTAAAACTGGCATACAACATAAAGATAAGGATAACATTCATGCTAATATTTTAACATTTTAATTTTTCTTTGCTTAGAAAGATATTAAATAGCAAATAAAAAAAAGTCAGGGCGAGTTGAGAGAGAGACAGACAGCAGAAAAAAAGGAAAAAGCTTTATATTTTAATACCATAAATGGCACTATTTTCTGACATTTTGAACAAGGGCTCCACATTTCCATTTTGCACTGGGCCCCACAAATTATGTAGCCTGTCTAGTAGAAAAGTCCAACCCACCACCAAACGGTCCCAAGAAAAGCCCTCTGACACCCCAGTCAGACACCTGGCACCAGTGACTCCTCAAATGGAATGCTAGGGCTCCAACACAGACATGCTAGATTTCTACTGGTGCCCTAACAAAGGATCACACATTTAGTGGCCTAAACACCCAAATTTATGATCTTACGTTCTAGAGATCAGAAGCCCAACATGAGTCTCACCGGGTTAAAATCGAGCTGTTGGTAAGGCCAGTTTCCTTGCTGGAGACTCAAGTGGAATCTGTCTTCTTGCTCTTCAGCTTCTAGAGGCCCCTGCCTTCCTTAGCTCGTGGCTTCTTCCCTCATCTCTGAAGCCAGTAGTGGCAGGTTGAGTCCTTCTTACGTTTCAAATCTCTCCTTCTTCTGGCTCATGTTGGGAAAGTCATTCCGATTTTAAGGACTCATGTGATGAGATTGGGCCAAACCAGAGAACCCAGGATACTCATGGCCCCCATGGTATCCAGACATCCACCCTCCCAGGCATATCCATGTCCAGGTCTGAAGGAAGGCCAGCTGCTTGGCAGGACTAGAGAACACGTGGAACTCTTCAAGGGGGTTAAGGAGACATGGACTTTCATTTTCCTGGCTGGATCGTACACGAAGGCAGAGCAGGTGCCGAGTGAGACTAGACAGTGTCTGCAATAGCGGGTCAGTTGTTGAAGGGAGACGGAAGAGAGAGAAAAAATAATTACAGGTGATGCTGATGCTACAGCAACATCATATAATGTGATGGGAGAACAGGTTGACAAGGCATGGTCTGCATCCCCATCCCCGAGCCCTGAACCCTCACAGTGATCTTCACAGGACCGGCTCTGCAAGCTCTCACTCTACTCTAAACAGAGCAATTAACTTTGTTGTCTTATTTTCTCTACTATTGTCAGATCTATTTTTCTTTTGCTTGTTAAATACCCACAATAATCACATCAGAGGAAGATTAAGACACCATACAAAACATAAAATTCACATACAGCTTTTGATTTCTTTAAGATAAGTGGAATTTTAAAATCTGGTTATTATTTATGGTGATATTAAATGTGGTTGTTGTTTTTAACGCACTTTAAATTGCTATAGAGGCATAAAGTAACAGCAACAAAAAAACAGTTTTAGTAACACCTAACAAGCAGCAATGTGATTTAGGCTAAAAGCCTAAAACTTAATTAACTCTGCTGTGATATAGCAAAGGCCATGCACCACGTGTTAAAGGAATCAAAAAGAAGGGGGGAAAATTTATGCTTACATCGATAGTAACAGCATTTTTATACTGCTGATTTCTGAGTAAGGAAAGCATTAGAATCAGAGAGTATATTCACGTTTAGTTTGCACATATTTTTGAAGAAATAGAATATTTTCAGACAGAAGAAAAGCATGCAACAATTTGAAAGGAAAATGACTCAATGCTTTCATACAAAACTTTAATTTTCACACAACTTAGATGAGCTACACAGACTAAAAATGTTACAATAACAAGCCTTTTATTAGGGAAGCTGGGGAAGGGAGGACTAGTGAGAAAATCGGACAACATGTTGAATTTGGTTACTTCAGTAAGCAGCACGGGAAATAAAATATCAAGATTAACGAAGAAAAGAATGGAAGATGGCCGTCACAATATCCCTAGACCACAGGGAATTAATGGAAGTGAATTTGATTTATATGTAAAGGCAAATTCTGTCCTGGGCTCTGATCAGTAAGTCAGCATAAATCTTTGCATTATGCTAAGGGGAGAATAAAGACCGTTTCCCATCCTGCCTGGGATCAAAGAGACTCTGCTCTTGGGGTCGCAGTTTCTGAGTGCCTGGTACAGCCTCCTCGAGATGAAGGTCAGTGTTTGAGGCTGGAGGAACAAGGATGCCGAGATCAGTCTGAGCTGCTTCCAGCCCTATAAGGTCTTCCCAGCTGAGCTTTGGATGCTAAATTTTCAGCATGCATAAAAGCTCTTGATTGGCAATCACACCACTGGGACCAAACCTGTTATAGTAACAGGCAACTCCATGGGGATGCCCCAGAAGGGCTGGAGAAGAAAGAAGAGAACAGAGTGCCCAGAGGTCAGTCCTTTCCTCTTTGTGGCTGTGTGGAGGGTCATAATAGAGCGCACACGTGGCTGATATCCAAAAATAACTACGGACTGGTGAGGCACTCCCAACCGGAACGGAGGCCTGCACCATCGCAATGCCACGCAGGGCCCCTGAGGCCCCCTTTAGTTGGGATTCTTTCTGATTTATTTCTTCTTTCAAACCTGACTTTCTTTACCCCTGCCTCTCAGAGATCTGCTCTCCCCTGGGAGACAATGAATGATAAAATGCCATCCTTCCCAGGACACATGTGGACGATCCACGTAAAAGGTGAGTCTCCAGAAGGTTGTAGGAGGTGCTCCCATAGCAGAATTTCGAGACACAGGGGCAGACTAGTAACAGATCATTTTCATCAGGTCTCCCTCAAATTATATTGTCTAGTAATAATCATCATCATTTTGTCCTCTACTTTGCTGCTCGCGCTGCATTTATACACACATGATTTCGTTTCATTGGATGTTAAATCCATCAGGTCTTTATCAAGCAACTGGGAGCACGGGGGATGGACACCATTCTCTCCCTCAAGGATTTAACAGTCCTACAGGAGAGATAGATATGTGGCTGTGATACCAGGCTGAATAAAAATGTGCATATTCTAGGTCCACTGAGGAAGCAATTACTTCAGACTGGGGCAAGTATGGGGGAGACAAGAGAAAACATGGCGGGAGGAATGAGTGGTGCCAAGGTCATTAAGAGCTTAAGGAGTTGCAATGGCCAAGGGTGGAGATGTCAGTCACATGGGTATCCGCATCATAAACAGAGGGATAAAATCAAAGGTGACATGACAGACAAAGGCGGTCTGAAGCCAAATTATGAAGATTTAAATATGATACAAAGTAACGTGATTTGACCCACATAACAAATATCCTATCTAGAGGGGAGAGACCCCGTCACTCCCTTTTATAGACCGAGAACCTGAGAGGCTAAACCACACAGCTACTCAGAAGCAGGTATGTTCCTCACATCCAGGTCTCGTCCCTCCAACACGCTCCCATCTTCACACAGACTAGCCATGCGTGAGACCTCCTGTGCTGCTTCCTCTTGAGGCCAGAAGACTCAGTTCTGTATGTCTGCTGTGGGGTGAACCGACGTGTTGAAGTCCCAGCCACTGCTACCTGTGAAGGTGACCTTTGGAAATAGGGTCCTGGCAAATGTAATTAAGATGAGGTCCTACTGGAGTAGCAGGGGCCGTTAATTCTACATGATTGGTGTCCTTGCAAGGAGAGGAGAGAGGGAGAGACTAACACAGAGAGAGCGCCACATGACGGCGGAGGCAGAGATCGGGGTGATGCAGCTGCCAGCCAAGGAACACCCAGGACTGCTGGCCACCACCAGAAGCCAGGACATGGCTCTGCTGCCACTCTGATTCAGGTGTCTCACCTCCAGACCTGTGGGAAAATACACTTCCGCTGCTTTCAGCCATCCAGTTTGTGGCAGTTTGTTACAGCCCTAGGGAATGCAGAGCACATCCAAAGCACTCCTGGAGCAGACATAGAGCTGAGTGTCCATTTAGTTCAAGGGTAGAAGTTATAGAGAATCTGGACAAGTGGACAGGCTTCCCGACCTCAGGCAATGCACATCTGGAAGTCACCGCACCTTCAAAAGGGCCAGTGCTGACCCCTGTCCCTTCACCCGCTCCAGCGGCCACGGCCCCCAGTGGAAGAGCACAAAGTCGTTTCGCTCAGAGGGGAAGACATTTGCTTTCCCTCTTCAGTTGTGCTGCCCACAGTGGGACAAAGGTAAGCTGAACGCTCTCCAAAAGGGCAAAGCTGGACCGATCCCAGGCTTGTAAAATTTGCAAGAGCATTTTAAACCAGAAAGAGACACGTTTGACTCAAAAATTTTAAAATAAACTAAAAAACGTTCACCCTCCTTTGCCCCCTCTCTTTCCTCCAGTGAAACAGACTCAGCAATTTAAACTGCCTGGTGTTTACACACAAACTCGATCCCAGAAACACATGGAGGAGTTAGTAAAATGAGGATGCCAGGACAAAAATTTAGAAGGCAAAAAGTCAAAAGAAAAGGGCTGACTTTTCTAAAAAATATAGAAACCAAGACCAAATAACGAGGATTGTTCTAGAATTCAAAACAGCTTGGGGAAAAGTTTGTTTGCCAACAATGGAAAACTCAGTAAGGAGAGGGAACAGAGGAAAACTCTAAGCAAATGAAGAAAAGAAGGAAGAATGGGAGGGAGGCAGCCCCTCTGGATTAAGTATGTGCTATGCCAGGATGCAACATCCACGCTGATCTAAATGTGGGGTCTTACTTCACTCGCAGAAGAAGCCAGGACATAAATATTACTAAACTTCATTTTACAGATGAGGAAACACAGACACAAAGAGTTGGACTTATCATTCCAGGTCACAGAGCTAATGAGTGGAAGAGCTGCGTTTCAAACTCCTGACTGAAAATCTAGTGTTTTGGTTTTGTTCTTTGTCTTTTCAGAACTCCCCAGCTAAGGCAAAAAGAGTGGAATTTTGGCATCCTGATTAAAACATATCTGTACACAAGATGAAAAATCAAAGGAATTAAACTAAAGACTGTATACATTGGTTTTGGTGAGGGTGTTTTAATAGGGATGACGGGACATGAGAGTTTCCCAGTAAAAAACGGAAAACTTAGTCTTGTTCAAATATCTTTGTTCTAAGCCAAGTGTGAATAAACCAGGCAATAAGGAAAGAGGGAAAAATCTGCTGAGGAAAATGACAATTTTTTGTCTGCCTTTGAATCTTAAAATATTTGGCACAAACCTTGAGAACAGTTCAAAGATTTTTCCTACCAGCTGTAAGTTAAATATTGGAAGTGAATGTCCTCATTGCGAATACAAACATAAATGCAAGAACATAAAACTGTCAGTTTCAAAGAAGATTGTATTTCTTGTGCAGCTGGTATCTTATGAAAGAAGCACGAGGCCCATTCTTTTCTTCATTCTCATATGTGACCCTTGTGTTGGGGTGCCCAAGGCCTAAAGCAAGATGGTTCTCTCTGGAAGGTTTTAAACAGTTTGCTTAACTCAAAGCATGGGGAAAGGGTGGGACATGGGCCAGCAGGTCATAAATACCAATCCTTGAAGCCTCGCTCTGCCCCTATACTGGGGGAAGGCAGCCAAGCTCTTTTTCTGAGTATCCTTATCCATGAGATGCAGATATGTAGAGCTGTTATAAAAACTTAATTAGATAATTTGTGTAAAATATTTGCTGTCCTGGATTGAATAGTGCCCCCCCAAATATGTTCACTTCTGACCTCCAGAACCTGTGTGTGACCTTATTTGAAAGAAAAGTCTTTACGGAAGTAATTAAGTTAAAGATCTTGAAATGAGATCATCTTGGATACCCAGGCAAGTCCTAAATCCAGTGATAAGTGTCCTTATAAGAGGGAGAGGGGGAGAAGACATGGACACAAAGGAGGAGAAGGCCATGTGAAGAAACTGGAGTGATGCAGCCAAAAGCCAAGGAGCACCTGGGGCCACAGAGCTGGACAAGGTGAGAGTGGATTGTCCCCTGGAGCCTTCATAGGGAGCACAGCCCTGCTGACACCTTGACTTCAGACTTCTAGCTTCCAGAACTA